AACCAGAGAACAAAGAGTTAATAATTGGAGAGATTTTCAAACAAAAAAAAGTAATTCATCTCAAGGTGGAACTAAAAAAAGGAAAAAGTTTGGTAGTGAATTTAAGCCGCCTAAAGTTTTGGCTGAGGATCCTTCTAAACCTTATATAAAACGACCCACGAATAATAGTTAATTGCTACAATTAAAATGTAATATATATCGATATAAAAAAACGCATAGTCGTAATCGTGTATATATGTTGTACCTACGCATATACATCACTCGATAATTTATCACGTGTTGCTTGTCAGCCTTTGATCTTATTGGTACTTACTCACAAGCGTGATATACTTGTATGATGAAATTTGTTATAGTCAATTACATGTATTGATATCGGTATTCGCTAATATTACCAATATAATTATTAGAATATACCAAAAAAATTATTTTAAATTAATTATTTAACCAAATTTATTTAAATTTTGTTAAAATATATTTAAATATTAGAGCTATTTTTTTGTATAATTTTGGTATTACTTATTAATAAAAATTTTGTATAATTTAATCTTAAGCTTCCTAAAATTTTGTTGTACATTGGGTGAATGATAAGTCTTGTCAGTAAGTATTTATTTAAAAAATTTAATAATATATTTGAATAACAAATTAATACATTCTCTCAAAAAACTCTTCATTAAATTCTATACAAGTTTTAAGCCAGGTTTGCAAATTTTTAAAACATCTGTTATATTCATCCATACAGATGTTATCTGTAATTGTTTTTATCGCTTTTGCAAGATTTTCAACCTGTTCAAAATGTCGACCAGCTAATTCATTTTTAATTTTTGGAAACAAATAAAAGTCACATGGTGTTAGGTCTGGACTATAAGGTAGATGAGGCATTAATTTAATACATTTTTTTTTCAAATAATTAGTAACAATATCTGCCTTGTGTGATCTAGCATTATCATAATATAACAAAACATCTTTTACAGTATGTCTATTTTTTTTTTTCATAAAATTATTAAACACTTTGGATAATACAGTATTAGAATAGAACCTATTATTAACATTAGTATCTTCAGGAATCACTTTACTAGTTACTATACCATCTGCAGCAAAGAATATACAAAATATCTGTTTTTTACTATTTTTAGCAGTTCTAGCAATTTGTGGCCTATTTTCTTCAGATTCAACCCATTGTTTATTGCCTTCTTTGTTTGAAATAATAAAAAAATACATCCATAATTCATCACCCGTAATTATATTTTAGTAACCATTTTTTAAAATTTCTAAAAGTTCTTTAGAAATTTTAATTCGTTTTTGCTTATTTTTTTTTACTTAACTTATACAGAACCTATTTTGCACGAATTTTTTTCATATTGAGCTCTTCATCAAGAATATAACTAACTCGTTCAAGAGAAATACCTAAAAGGTTAGCCAATCCTCTAATAGTAATATGAAGTTATCAGAGACCAATTCCTTAACTTTAGCAATAGTTTCCGGTATAGTGATTTTACAAGAATGCCCAGAATGAAGCTTGTCTTCAATATCCTCATCTTCAGCTTTAAATGTAGCAATCCAGCGATCAATAATATATAATGATACTGCTTGATCTCCTTTACCAATTACTAGTTCAGCATAAATTTCTGTTGATGTTTTATTGTTTTTCTATCGAATGAGAGTATAATAATGTTGATATTGTCGATTCATTTTTATTTCAATATTTTTAAAAAACAAATATTAAAAAAATTTTTTTCTGATTTTACTATATAATTATATATTAAACTCAATGAAGTAATTCATAATAAGTCATACTTATGAATGTATTAATTATTCATTTATAGCTATGATCTGTACAGAAATCTGACCTCACTGACAAGACTTTTCATACAGTTTATGTACTAAATTTAGTATAATATTTTTTTTAAAAAATAAGTTTTGTTTGTATTTTTATTAATATTTGGTATTAAAGATTTACTAGAAGTTTCTCTAGCTAGAGTTAAATTATAAAAAATTTTATAAAAATAAAACTCAGACTATCAGAAACTATAATTCTAATTTATCTATAACTTAAATCTACTAAAGTAATTAATTGCAATATCGCGAGCCAATAAAGATTTGCAAAATAAGACTGCATGCCAGAAATTGATATGCAATTTTTACGAAAAGTAAACTTTGAAATTAATTGAAGTAGCATAGTTTAATAGTTGAATAACTGCTATAACAATACAATACTGATTCTGGTAATTCAGTTGACTACTTGTGTCAATTTTTTTTAAATTATACTTCGCACTTAACGACTTTATATTGGATGCATTCTTCATTTCACCTTACAAATCTGTTACGATTTCAAACGATCTTGCGAATATAATTTATAGAAGTAGCGATAAGAGAGCAGAACAAGACATCACTTGGTCGTGTAAGAATATTAAAAATACAATCTCTCAGAGCTGTCTTTGGTAAATCTTACTATTGTGATATGTAATTGGTTCTTCATATATATATTTTGTAAGTAATTACTATTCTCTTTTATTTTAGTTCAAATCACAAGTAATTTTAGAATTTATGTACTGTATATATCATATTGTTAGATGTTAACAAGTCAGAAAGTGAGTTTTGTTTATACACCTCTTCAGTTTCTTGAGGAAAAAGCTTTATAAGATTTCTTCTAGTGCCTTTTGGGCATGTTCTGTAGCTTTTTCTTTGAACTTCCTATGATATCTACTAATCCATTTTTGTATCGTTGAAACTTTAGATACATCATCTTGTTCGATCTTCCTACTTAATACAAACTCCTGAAGTTTCTCATATATCCATTGTGCTATAAGCTTATCTCGAGAATTTGAGTTACTATTCAAATACATACATTCTAGCATATTTTTGACTTGTTGTTTTATTCTCTTGTCTCCACCTTTTCCACCAAGTTCTTGGTTTTCTTTCAAAGCTCACCCTTTCGCAAGCAGATAGTTATCATCAATGCTATCTATCTCTATTTCAATATGACCTTAATTGTTAAGCAATAATTAGTTATTATTTGAATTTTGTTTTCAAATTTTATACAGTACTTACTTCGATTTTTATTTTCTAGATCTTCTTGATCCTCTTTATCTTCTTGCCACAATGTATTTGATAAGAAATTTATAACGATACAAAAATTTAGTAAAATTAGCAAACTTGTAATAGTACAATGATATAGCTTTATTTAGCATCAGACAACTGTTATATTAAGAATTGATCTTTTTAGTTACTAATTTATTTACTTAAGATTTGTATTTGTTAGTTAGATACAATTTATAATGCATCTTGGTAAGTAATATCATGACTGTTGTTCTGATAGTATAAGTTTTGTTTTTAGAACATATTTACATACCTAATGATTCGTTTGGTATTGGCATAGTCTATTTTTTAGAAGGCACAGTATGTGAAGATATTACTGGTTCTGGGTGGACAATTTCTTTATTATATAATTTTGCAATTTGAGTTGGAGAAAATTGAAGATAAGATCCAATATATTGTAAAGAATGTGCTCAAATATATTCTGCATAATTGCTATTTACTGACCATTCTTACCAAAAATATTTAGAAATTCTAGTCATAGTACCAACTATTGGTTTATTTTTTTTTTGTTTTGAATCTAATATTTTCGTAGTTATATTTATTTGATTTCTGTTTGGTTCAAGATTTGCCAGATACGTTCCAGCCAAATTTTTTGCTACTTTTACAATATCTGAACTATCAGTTATATTACAACCAATTCGTATATAACGTTTAATTGCGTGGGTTATCTATTTATTACAATTGTTTAATAAGTAGTTGAAGTAATTTAAAATTTGATATATAGTCAAACTTTTCTAAATGCAACTTGTATAAATAAAAGTTTTAATAGTTTGCACTTAAAGAGCGATAGAAAAAATTGATTTATGGTGTTTAATATATATTTGGATCAGAGTTAGAGATTGTATTTATGAAGTTGAATTTGGAGAAGTCTACTGTATTTTTTTAAAAAAAATTGTAATTTACCGATGCATAGTGTAAATCTATAGTGGTTTCGCTTCACCTGGTTCAAGAAACAGCCATCCACGTACTTGAATATCATACTATTCATTCCAATAAGCTATTATAGTTATTAGTTGGCTATTATGATAATGTGCTCCATTATCTGATATGATTTGTATTCACTTAGATTTATTTTCAAGTATTGAAAATACTGCTTCAAAGGAAGATACCATGAACCATACATCTTGTTTTGTATCAGTACTCCAATAATTATATACACTAATTTCTAATTCTGACTTATTTTTAGCAAGAGTAAAAACTAGAAGTGTATGCAATGTCCAGCCTTATTTGCCAAAAAATTTTTGCTTGGTTTCTCTTGCTGATTTAGATAAAATTCTCATTTTATAATTAGCAATTATAACAGCACTGTCTTGATCTAGCTGTGCTAAAAGATAGCTATATTGAATATTTAGATAGACTTTTCTTGCATGATGTGCAAGATAATATTTGAGTTTTTCTTGAATTTTATTTAGTTTTTGGTGATATTGGGTAGGAATATGTACTTTCAAATCACTAAAAAAATAAAAAATTTATTATATTTTTTACATCTTCTTTGATGCTTTTGATTGCATTCACCAAAAGCGTATAAAAAACAGTAATCTATACATTTTTGATGTTGAGTTTTTCCATCTATATTAACGATTAATTTCCTTTCAAAATCTCTTTTCATATGACATTTTAGCAAATCGATTTGTGAAAGTATTTTATTCTATTATATTACAAAAACTGTAAGTATTTTTTATAAATTGAATTACTGTATTATTACTGTATTACATTGATTAAAAATCTAGAGTTTAAAACAAAGTTATAATAGATGGAATTTTATAGCTTATTTTTTTAATCAATGCAGTACAGTAAATCAAAGTTAAATATAAATAAAATTTACTAATATGTTATTTTCAAAATTTTTTTGAACAATATCTACTAAATCTTCAAATGGTTCGTAGCTATACTCATTACAATTCATACATAAACCACCTATATCTGTTCGATAATGAATATTTGTTGCATTATTTAAGCAGACCATAAATGCAGTTTTTCGCATTCCATTTGGATATTTTTCTTCGAATTTTGTTCATAATGTTTCCTTTTGATCTTGAAGATAAATATAGATAATTCAGTTTTTGAATCAATTTTATATGAACTCATCGTAATATTTGATTTGTTTTGAAAAAACAACTGAAATTCTGATTCTTGAATTTTGGATAATCAATGAATAGTTTTTTGGAAAACATCAATAGGTGGTGCACCAGGTCCATGCAATCTTGCATGTTTTCGAGCAGAATTTATTATATTTTTACTAATCTATTATATGAAATAATTTGTGTAAATAAATATTTAGATTTAGATTATTTTTATTTACTTACCTGTAAT